CACGGCGCACTGCGACCACCGCGCCGCGGCGGGCGCACCACCGCGACGCGGGAGAGGGGAGCCTGGCCCGGGGCCAATAACTCACGAGCCAGAACAACTCTGGAACGGAGGGTAGACAGCGTAGGGGGCACACGGATCAAATACATCCATACATACACACATGCATACATACATACAGATAACGTATATGTATATGTATCTACATACATGCATACATGCATACATGCATACTCACACCTACTTCCATACGTGCAAACATGAATGTATGCGTACATCCATACATAATGAATGCACACACATAACACCATACATACATACGTATGTGTATACACATGCATACAAGCATTAGTCATACCTTGCATACATACATACACCCATACATACACACATACATACGTGCATACAGACATGCATACACACACGTATGCACCTACAGACATACATACATAAACACATACATACATACATACATACATACATACATACATACATACATACATACACACCTACTGTCTACATACATACACACATTCACATACACACAACCGTACATATATACATAGATCCAGCCATACTTACATGCCCACCAACATACATACATACGCACCTACATATAATCACACACATACATACGTACATACATATGAAAATGCATACACACATGCATAGTTACACGCGAACATACACATGCACACCTTAACACATGCATGCAAATATGCAGACATACATCCATACATACACACATACATTCATACACACATCGATATACACATGCATTCACGCACACCTGCAGACAGTAATACACGCATCTGCATATACACAGCTATACTTACCATCACACAAACATGCAGACTTGCAGGTTCGCAGGTATGTAGCACATGCGTATACACCTACATACATAGCTGCATGCATGCACACATACATTCATACATACGCACGTACGTTCATACAAACGAACACACATACATGCATACATTCATACACACCATCGTATATCCATGCATATGTGCATTACAGCGGTACACGATTACATGCATATATACAGACATACAACGGACCACCCGTTGGAGCACCAATTGATCCATCGACGGAAGGCCCTGAGATCCTCCGATATGATTGTCAATTCGCGGCCCAAGAAATCCTGGTCCCGGATCCATGCTTGCTGGTCAGGGGGCCCGGCAACGGCACCCGAGAGCCGAAAGAAAGGCAGAAACGCCAGCTGGACAAAATCAGCGCGTGCGGCGGAAGGCAGCCGAGATCGAACGAACCCATTCTCGCCCTCCCCCCCTGGCGAGGGCAAGAGCGGCCAGGGGCGGGGCAGGCGGGCGGGCGGGCGGGCTGCTCCCCTCTCGTCCTCCCCCCCCGAGGCCCTCCCCCACCCCGACGGGCGCCCCGAGCCCTTCAGCGCCCGGAGATGGCCGCGGGATGCCGCCGCATGCGCCGCCCAGGGCCACGGCCAGGCGCGCCGCGTGCGGCGCCGGGGCGACGCCTCCCGCCAGCCAGGGGGAGCCGGCCAGAGGGTGGGGCCCGCCTGGGGCGCGGCGGGCGGCGGCGGCGGGGCGCCGCAGAGGGAGCGGCGGCGGCCGGCGGGGGCCACGAGGGAAGCGAGGCGGGGGCACGTCGGGAGGCAACTCCTGGGATGAGGCGAAGCAGCTGCAGACGTGGTCAAGAGAATCATCCTTGAAGACATCTGGGCCAGCCGTCCGGAAGTCTCTCCAGCCAAGCCTGGGCCAACTGTTCGTCTTGAAGCTGGAGGGGCGAACGTGCTCGAGAAACTGGGCCAGGTCTCTGGCGAGTTGGTCGAGAAACGCTGGCCCAGCTTTGCGGGAGGAGGTTTCTTGATCAGATGCTCGAGTGTACCAAGTAAAATCAGGCCAGGGACGAAACCACCTTAAGCGGTGCTGAGCCGGAGCAAACGGGATGGGTACGGGTGAAGCGGGACATGTGTCAGGGTGCGCTTCCGACCAAGGATATATACCAGCACCGATTCAGAATTTCACATCTCAGGGGTTCCATCCTAGAGTGCACGGGAGGGAACCTCTGGCTACATGGGGCTGCTTGTCTGATCGGTTTTTCGCCCCTTCCCCACCAACCTCCTCCAGCTCCTCTACGCTGACTGCAAGCATCTGCCCCAGGGGCGACCAAAACGGGTACGGAGAAGACGGGTACAATGCTCAACGGCAAACGTTGTCCATCACCCACATCGGTCACTGTTGGGCAGGCGACTTTTTGTCTCAAATGCGCAACGTGCGTGACGACACCGACATCAAATCCTGCCCCAAATGGGCAAGTACTGGTGTCCGTGATCGGCACCATCCTGTAGCAAAATGCTGGCAGACTGGCAACCCAGGAAGCTGCTGCATGGGGACCCCAAACAACCCCAGGAGATTGTTTTTTTATTCTGGCCGATAACGCTCGTTACCCGGGGGGGGGGGGGGGGGGTCGTGCCCCTCGGGTAACGGTAACGCTTGGGCTGGGCGGGGTATGGCGAGGCAGGGGCGCTCTGCGATCGCCATAGTATGCGCGCGAGCAGCACTCTCTGCCTGAGAGCACCACAGTGGCTTGCGATTCGAGTACAAGCGCAAAGCCCGCCGCGTGGTCCCGGCACCACGCCCGCGCCCGCGCGCGCGACGACGATGATCGACGAGCGACGAGCGACGAGGTCGACGACGACGACGACCTTTGTCGGACTCCGGAGGCCGTTTTTCGGGCGCCGTCGACGACGACGACGACGATTCGAGTACAAGCGCAAAGCCCGCAAGCACCAGCATCGCGCATGCGAGCGCCGCAATGGCCTGCGAGCGCCCACAGTGCGCCTGCGACCACCACACCACAGTGCGCATGCCTTCGGGCACCAGCATGTTGGAGGGGAAGACCGAGACCCCCCCCGCGTACGAGCGGTACCGTTACGGGGGGGGGGGGGGGGGGGGGGGAGAGGCCCGGGTAACGAGCGTTACCCCCCAGAGGATAAAAAAACAATCTCCAGACATCCAGCGGCTCGACTTTTCGAGGCATGGGCCCCCGACCTCTCGACCCTTTCCCCAGGGCCCGCTTATCATCCTGAAGTCGCCTTGCCGCTCCCGAAGGCCCAAAACCACCCCCAGGAGGCCGCGAGTGGCGGAAAAAGCCTTCCGTATGGTCATCGTAAGACCAGGAGATAGCTGAATCCGCCGACCCTGTCGGCGTGTGTGAGGGGCGTTTCCGTTCGAGTCGGGCTGTTCCGTTGGAGTCGTCGTTTTCGTCCTCCTCTGTTCCATTTGCCTGGGCCCCTTGCTGATACGCGCCGTCCAAAACAAAATCGAACAACATAGGAGTGGAATCGAAGGGAAACCCCTTCCCTTGGATCCCTTCCCCGCGCTGGGGAAGGGTCCCCGTGGGATGTCCCGGGGGGGGTCCCGGGGGGGGTCGCCACACAGATACGCTCCCCCCCCGCGCAACTTCGCAACCCTCGCGCGGTCCCCTTGCGGTCCCGGAACTCCCGCCCCTTGGCCTCAAGAGGCCCACAAGAGGTCCCCAGGAAGCCCGAAGGGGCCCCCGAGAGGCTCTCAAGAGGGCGCCCCAAGAGGCCCTCGAGAGGCCCCAACAATTTTTCCCAGGAGGCCCCCCAGAGACATCCGAAGAGACCCCAAAAACCATCCCTGAGGACTCTGGCCCGCGTCAGCGTCGTCGTCGTGGCCGCCGCCGCCGTCGTCGTCGTCGGCGTCGCCTCCCTTCACGGTCCCTCGCGCTTGGATCCCAGGCACGGCCCGGAGTCCGGAGCCCCTTGTTGGGCCCAGGAAGGCATTTGCTTCGGCGCCCAGACTGTCTTATTTGTTGAGCCGTCGAGCGTGTTGGCGACGGCCAGGGGCTGCGGGGACGGCGGCGACGCGCGGGGGGCGGGGGGGGCACCTCAAACCGACTCTGGTGAGCTAGCCCGAAGGCGCGTCACAGTGCGCCCGCAGCTGAAGCTGAAGCCATGGCTGAAGTGCACGTCTGTTTTCCAGACGGTCCAAGATGTGCTCCAAGATGGTCCAAAATCTCTGGCGCGGACCTCGTCAAGAAAAATGCACACGTCCAAGCGATGCCAAGCTGAGCGGCTGGTACAGCGCATCGTTGAACGGCGACGGCGGCGGCGCGGAGAGCTTGGACGCCCGAAATGAGCTGCGGGGAAAACGGGTACGATGCCCAACGACAGGTGTTGCCCAATACCGACAGTGGCCGCTGTGGGGCACGCGGCCTTCTGCCTCAAGTGGGCAACGACCGCCGCGACGCCGACAGCGAGCCCTGCTCAAGACTTTGTGCCCATTGCTTCCGTACGCATGTCGATCGCCCCGAGACGAGGAGCCGGCCTGGCGGCAGCGGCAGCGCTGGCGGCGCGCCCCTGCTCTTGCACGTCACGGCGGGCGCGCTCGCCGCGGATCCTCGGGGCCCCGGGGGGGGGGGGCTGGCGCTGGGGCCTCTCCCCGCCCTCCTCGACCACAGTCGGGCCTCCTAGGCTCAGCTCGTGCGTGTCCTCCTACAGGCGCAGTGTGGTCGAAAATTGAAACAACAGTCATAACATCTTCAAAGATAGCAACAAATACTAGAACAATCGTCCCCTGCGTATTGTTGATGATTTGGGAATGTTCCTCCTGTAGAGGGACAGGCCCGACTTAAACCCAGGCCAGGCCAACATCCCTCAAGAACATGAGACCCTCCGCGAGCCCAAAAGACAAAGAACACTCTGGGGTACCCTCCCCCGGATGCACAAGAACATCAAACTAACACGAAGAACATCTGGGCACCCTCCCCGTACCAACCTCGCAAGCGGCGACCCTCTTTTCCCGTCTCCGCCTCAGCACGAGGGTCTGGTCGAGTCACCGTGTGCACAAGTCATTGCAAGGCAGCACTCCGACAGCCTGGGCCGCTGTTGGGCCGGCAAACGCCTCGCTGCCCTCTCGCTTCACGCAGCTGCGCACCCGCCGTCACGGTGGCGCACGGCTCCACGCCTCGATATGCGCGCCCCGAGGTTCGGCTCCGCCCTAGATGCCGACCGTCGCGGAGCGCGCCCACAGAGGCTCGGAAGCCAGCCCCGAGGCCGGCAGGACCACGGCCCTGACTTGAGGGACCTCGACGAGTCGCTCCACGGTCTGCACTTGAGGCGCGCCGTGCACGATCTTCTCCACCTTCTGCACGTGGATGCGCGGCACCTCGCGCACGACTTCCTGCACGACGGTCGTCGGCACCTGCTTGATCACCTCCTCCACCCGCTCCTCCACGACCTCGACGATCTTCTCTTGGTATTGGACTTGCGGGACCTCCACGATCTTCTCGACGGTCTGCACCTCAACCTTGGGGACCTCCCTGACAACCTCGCGCACCTCCTCTTTGAACACCTGCTTGATGACCTCGCGAATCTCGATCTGCGGCACCTCCACTTCCCGCGTGGTGCGCCGGATGTGCGGAACCTCGACAATCTTCTCGATGGTCTGGACATGCGGCACATGGACCACCTTGATGACCTCCTGAATGTGTGGGACAACCACTTGTTTGATCACCTCTACCTCCTGCACCGTGGGCACCTCCCGTATCACCTCCTGGACCTGGATTTGGGGCACCTCCTCGATCCTCTCCACGGTGCGCATCGTGACGACTGGAACCTCCTTGATGATCTCCCGCACCTCGACCTGGGGCACCGCCCCCACGGGCTCCACCGGAGCCCCGACGGGCTCCGCGGGCGCCTGGGCTGCCTCAAGCGGCAGTGGCGCCGCATGCACTGGCTCCACCGGGGCCCCGACGGGCTCCACGGGCGCCTGGACCGCTTCCGCTGGCTGCGGGGCGCGCGGGGTCACGTACACGGGCGGCGCCACAGTGGTCGGGCCCATGGTGGTGACGATGCGGGGGACCGCCGCCTCTACGAGCTCCACTGGAGCCCCGACGGGCTCCGCGGGCGCCTGGGCTGCCTCGAGCGGCAGTGGCGCGGCGTGAACTGGCTCCACGGGAGCCCCGACGGGCTCCACGGGCGCCTGGACCGCTTCCGCTGGCTGCGGGGCGCGCGGGGTCACGTACACGGCCGGCGCCACAGTGGTCGGGCCCATGGTGGTGACGATGCGGGGGACCGCCGCCCCCACGGGCTCCACCGGAGCCCCGACGGGCTCCGCGGGCGCCTGGGCTGCATCAAGCGGCAGTGGCGCCGCGTGCACTGGCTCCACCGGGGCCCCGACGGGCTCCACGGGCGCCTGGACCGCTTCCACTTGCTGCGGGGCGCGCGGGGTCACGTACACGGGCGGCGCCACAATGGTCGGGCCCATGGTGGTGACGATGCGGGGGACCGCCGCCCCCACGGGCTCCACCGGAGCCCCGACGGGCTCCGCGGGCGCCTGGGCTGCCTCGAGCGGCAGTGGCGCCGCGTGCACTGGCTCCACCGGGGCCCCGACGGGCTCCACGGGCGCCTGGACCGCTTCCGCTGGCTGCGGGGCGCGCGGGGTCACGTACACGGGCGGCGCCACGGTGGTCGGGCCCATGGTGGTGACGATGCGGGGGACCGCCGCCCCCACGGGCTCCACCGGAGCCCCGACGGGCTCCGCGGGCGCCTGGGCTGCCTCAAGCGGCAGTGGCGCCGCGTGCACTGGCTCCACCGGGGCCCCGACGGGCTCCACGGGCGCCTGGACCGCTTCCGCTGGCTGCGGGGCGCGCGGGGTCACGTACACGGCCGGCGCCACAGTGGTCGGGCCCATGGTGGTGACGATGCGGGGGACCGCCGCCCCCACGGGCTCCACCGGAGCCCCGACGGGCTCCGCGGGCGCCTGGGCTGCCTCGAGCGGCAGTGGCGCCGCGTGCACTGGCTCCACCGGGGCCATGGTGGTGACGATACGCGGGACCGCCGCCTCCACAGGCTCGAACAGAGCCGCCGTGGGCGCCCTAGCCGCGACGGGCTCCGTCTCGCGCAGCAGGCGCACTGTCCGCACTGTGGCGATTCCGTGCGGAGCGCACGTCTGCACGGGCTCAGCCGCGGCCTGCTGGGGCGCACCCATCGGCTCCATGGTCATCTGCGGATCCGCTACTGGCGCCGAATACATCAGGTCAGTCGTCACGACGCCCCGCTGCATGGCTGCGTGGAACTCCTCGAGCGAGATCTTCCCATCCCCGTCGATGTCAATAGCGCGGAAAGCGTCGCCGAGAGAGGAGGTAGACATTGCTCAAGTTGAGAGCAGACTCGAGGGCACGCGTTCGGAAAAACTTGAGCCAGAATGGCTACGGCACGCAGGGGGTGTGCTGCGTTCGGGGGGCGCGGAGGCGGGGGGGGGCAAACAGAGCTCGCAAGCGCTGCCTTCGCATCCCGTGCAGCCATCTGGGGACCCCAATGTGCCGTCACAGAGGGTCACTCTGGCGACAAGTCACTCCTGCGCGTGCCAAGCCTGAAGGAGGGGGATCCAGGACAAGGGCTCTCGGGGGGTGTTTTGCCCGTTCGCGAGGCCTCTGTGTGGGCCTCAGGGGACCCCGGAGGTCTCCTTCCGGTACCCCGTCCTCACCCTTGCCCCCCCCCCCCTGCAGTCGCTCGGTTGTCCAGCCCACAGTTTACCAGCCTGGAACATATCCCTATCCCTATGCTGGGCACCTCCTCATCACGATGCCAATCTTAGGGATTCCCCTATTGTTTGAGGGCGCATCCCTAAGATTGGCATCGCCTTTTGGCGTGTCAATCTTAAGGATAGGGATACGTTCGAGGCTGGTAAACAGTGCGTGGTTTGGCTTCGCGCGTGGCTTCTGATTTCAACCCGGCCCAGGCTGCCCCGACACGGTCCGCATGCTCTGGCGCTGGCCCCGCCGAGAAGACGGCACACGTCCAAGCGATGACAAGCCCCCCCGCCCCCATGTCCTCTACACCACCCGGACCCCGTGTCGAGAAATAGGGGGAGGATCGAGAGCCAAGAGAGCCAAAAAGCCAAGAGAGCAGCGCCAAGAGAACCACATCACCAGCGTAATCAGATGGGCAACCAGCGGAATACCGCACGACGTCGAGGAGAAACGTGAGGGAACACCTCTAGCCGCCCAGGAAAATTCGATCCAAACACCTGCATACATCTCTAGGGCAGAAAACGTCATACCCCGCAGGAGCCATCTACACGGATGACAAACACAGAGCAGCGTCTGGCGCCCACGTAGGGGACATAGAGAGACCAGCGCCGATGAGGCACGAACCCCCTGGCCGCCTCCTAATGTGTGTCCCCTTTCTTGTATTTCTCATATCCGTTTTTCGCGTCTTGAGGACGAGGGGAAGAGCAAGCGGCATATCAAAGGAATCTTTCGGAGGTCCGCGGGGATACCGTGGATCGGCGCTGGGGTCCCCCTTCCCTGACTGGCGCGCGGAGCGGGCCAGGGTCGGCGGGTGAGCCCATGGACAACTCATCGAAACGACGCCGAGTCCCTCCCGCCAGCACTTCCTGAATCGCCCAAACCGGGCCTTGCCAACTAAAACGTCGAGGAGCATTGGACGATCGGCGGATGAGCCCATGGTGCCAGCACGCACAAACTGGGGCGTGTGAGAAGCAAGGCAACGCTACGTGTGCCAGACCGCCGCATAGGACGTCCAGCGATTAGCACAACACAGCAAGCCCGTTCATGCCTGGGCTGCCAGTTCAGGCGGCAAGGCTGCAAAGGTGGCAGGTGGGGCGCTCATGCTCGTCACCGCGATGCCAAATGCCCATCGTCGACTTGTGAACTGGCCGGCGGCGGTTGCCACAGGCTCCGCACTTCGCTGAAGTGAGCTCTGGCGCTGGCCAGTCTGCTCCGCACTTAGCCGGTAGGGTAAGACACATCCAGGGTAAGCTCCAGCTTCGAACATCGCCGGGGCAACGGGTCTCCACATTCGACAACCGCAGGTCACCTACGCGCCCGAACTGCAAAAGACTCTGCCCATTTATTTAAAGCCTTCTTGGGGCGGATGGTGCCACACCCACCGTGACCTTTGCACCCAGCCCAGGCCACTGCGGCAGAGGCTTCCGCCCTGGGCCAATCCATCTGGTGCGCGTCCGCTGGACCATCCGCCCCAGAGGACAAGCAAAGCGCCCATGCCAAGCACAAACACACTCGAAACAGCCACTTGCACATGCTGGGTGGGCTGCACAGTGTCGCTGGTGTCACAACCGGGTGGCGGTTTCGTGTACGGGCACACGGGTAGTTACAGAGACACATCGCGCCTGACAAAATGCGGATGCGAGACCCTTGTCCGTGTCCCCGTGCGCCGAAAGACATGCCTCGTCACGCTAGGAAAACTGTGCCACGTACTGCTGTGCAGAGGCACAGCCAGTCGGAAGCTGGCTGGTTTGCGGGTACACACTGGACGCACGTCGGCTGAGATAGGGAAGGCCGTCCATGGGCCCCCCCCGCGATCCCTGTCCTCACTGTGGCGGCGCGCCCTGGACCTCTCCCGCTGGTGGCGGTCCTTCTAGAAGCAGACGAAGCTGCATAAACACAAACTTTTGGCGCTCCGCGCGGATCTCTTGGATCTGCGCTGGATCCCCCTCCCTGGCGCGCGGAGCGCGCCAGGGGCAGCGCCGGAGGCGCCGCGCGGAGCGCCAACAGTTCATGCTTATGCAGTGTTTTCTTCTTCGGCCTTCCCAGCAAGGCAAGGAGGTTTTGCCGAGTCGGGCCGGCGTTGCTGAGTATCGTTTAACCGATCCCCATCCCCAGCGGCGTGGCCTGGGCCCCACTGGTCGATGTACCCCCCTAGATGGGGATACAGGTCGTTCCCTTCGGGTTTCGAGGGGTGTATCCCCAACTTGGGTGGTAATTTGGTTGATGTCTCGAAGGGGCTGGGGATGGGGATGGGGACTTGATTGGTTAAACGATACCGAGTTGCGTTAACATTGACGATTGGCCTTCCTGCGGCAGGGGGCGGCAGCCCATGGGCAAAAGCAAGAAAGGCACCGCGGCGAGACGGCACCGCGCGGCACGCCGCGCGGAGGCGTTGTTGCAGGGGGCCAGGGGCCACGGTCAGGGGAGGCCTTTCGCCTCAGGGGAGGCCTCCCTCTCTCTCGTCCTCTGTTCTCTGGGGCACCGCAAGGGCTCGGCCACGAGACCCTCCCCGGAGAAACCCAACCCTGAGGGCCCAGGACGTGCACGGCTTTTTGGTGTGGGAGCGTCACGCTCTCCAAAGCAGAACCATCGAAGCCCAAGAAAGCCTTGGCACCCTGGAGGTTGGCATGGGTTTCCGCTGTACTGGCTGCTCCTCACGCATGTGTGCCCAGTCTGTTCCTGACCCCCGCTGGGGGCAAGCCATGCGTTGGACCCATCGATCGCTGGCAAAGGAGCGGAGACCACCGTCCGAGAAAGCCGAGCCCGCTCGTCATTGTGTGGAAGGGTAGAGTACGAGGACCATGACCAAGACTGAGCGCGGAAACGTCAGTGCCGAGATTGGCCATCTTCGCCCCGTGGGGAATCATCGCGGGTCGACGACGGTCGGCATGGACCATGACTGAGATTGGTGTCGGCAAGACCCAACGACACCTCGGTCAGGGTCCTCGTGCTGCTTCCCTCGCGTGCGACAGACCCGAAGTTATCGAAACCCGAAGGCACGCCTCAGGCTGGCGCGCAGCTGCCGCTGCCGCACCCGGGTGCGGGCCCGAGACGCGAGGGAGCCAAAGCGAGCATAGCAGCGCGTCCCACCACTCGCCGAGTAACTGCTCGCAGTTGGCCTGGATCCGCCGCGAGGGACCTGCGGCTTACTACGTCGAAGCAGACGAATGCTCTCTCTAGACGCTTGGGAGCAGGCGCCCTGGCGAGCGGTGGAGCGCGCCCGGCGACTTACCACGTCGAAGCAGACGAGTGCTCTCTAAGACGCGTGGGAGCCAGGCGCCCAGGCGACTTACCGCGTCGAAGCAGACGAGTGCTCTCTGAGACGCCTGGGAGGGCAGGCGCCTCCTGTTGCGAGCGGTGGAAAACGCGCTCGGGGAGGGCAGGGCGCGCCCGGGGAGCGGGGGGACGCAGGCGGCACCCAGCCCCGAGGATCTCGGGCCAGCGGCCGCGGCCCGGGGGCGGCCGAGGGTGCGAGGCGGCGCGCCGCGGCGCTCGAGCCCCCTTGTCCCTATCCTTCCTCGGCGTCCTCGAGCTCCCACGGGCTGCCCCGAACTCCCTCGCACTCCTCCCCGCCCGCGTAGTGGGAGGAGGGGGCGGGGTGCTAAAATCAGAGGGAGGAGGGCGATGACGTGGAAGGAGGAGCAGGAGGTTGCTGCTCCTCCTCAGGTTCCTCGGACCGCGGAGGTCGTGCGCCACCCATCGCAAGAACGAGTGTTGACCTTCGACTATGTGCTGGATCGATGCCAGGGCCCTCAGAGAGACCCGAGTCTTTGAAGAAAGCTGCTGGCTTGATCTGCTCGAGTCGTTGGAGATCTGGGCGACGGACGACGACATCCCTCGTCCGTCGTCGTGCGTCTGTGGTCTGTCGTTACTGTGTCCGGCGACGACGGACGGCGACGCCGTCCGTCGTCGCTGAGCAGGAACCAACTGTCCCGGCATTGCCGTAGGCATACCATGACATGTTCTCAGGAAAAAACGTTCTACTAACAAAAGCAAGGTTCTTAGATCATACCGCCGATGGTTACAAAGAGGACTGCCTCAGCCAGGCCTGTTCTACAAACCACTTCGTGCAAATCACAACATGTTCTTAAACATTCCCCTGGTGGATCTACAGGCAAGTCTCGACGCTGCGCCAATGCTCACTTCCTGCGTCCGGCGGCTGCAGCCAGGCGGTCGGCGGTGGGTGCTCTGGCGTCCGCTGCTGCATCGCCTTTGGCGGACACGGCTTTGCGGGGCGGGGGGGATGTGAGCATGCTAGCTTAACCGATCCCTATCCACACTGGCGTGGTCCTGGCCCCGCTGGCCGACTTACCAAACGGGGTCAGGATCTATAATCCAGGGCTCTCCCCCCCCACCCTCTGATGCGGATGCCTTCGGCCCCCGCCCCTCTCCTCACCGCGCGATGGGTCCCCCCCCCCGCTGGGCGTGGGTTGGTCGGGGGCCTGTTCCTGTGGGGTGGTACTGCAGTGCCGTCGTCGTCGCCGCCGCCGCCGCAGCCGTCGTCCTCCATCCAATTTGGGGGGGGGGGGGGGGCCCGCGGGGCCTTGGGCCCGGGAGCCTCCACGCCTGTGCGTTCGGGTTTCGCGTGACCGACCCTCACGTAGGAGGTTTGGGCTTCGCTGGTGGGGCCAGCGTGCGATGTCCCGGTGGAGATGGGGATGGGTGAGACGATGCTCAGGGGAGAAAAATTGCAGGGGGGGGGGGGGGGGGCGCGGAGAAAGGACGGGTGGCGGCGTAGAACAAAATCGGGGTCAAGGGGGCGATTTGCAAAAACAGTGCGTTCCTGCCGCGGGGAAGGGCTTCGGGGGAGGACGAGGATGGGCGAATACCATCCAAGACGGTTGCGACGACGCACAGGAGCAGGCGCGGAGCCCGATTCTCCTCCTCATCTTCCTTCTCCTCCTCCTCTTCTTCCTCCTCCTCCTCTTCATCCTCGTCCTCCTCCTCCTCCTCCTACTCCTCCTCCTCCTCCTCCTCCTCCTCCTCCTCCTACTCCTCTTCCTCCTCCTCCTCCTCATTCTCCTCCTCATTCTACTTCTCATTCTCCGCATTCTCCTCCTCCTCATCCTCCTCCTCCTCCTCCTCCTCCTCCTCGTTCGGGGACGTCCACGAGGGATGCGGTCCAAGAAGGGTGGGGGGGCCAGGGGACGTGGGGAACGGAGAGGAGGGGGCTACGAAATCCAGGCAGATACCATGGCACCAGCCATGACCTTCGGTGGCAACTCATGGGAGCCTCCCGTACCATCTTGTCGGCTCGTGTGAATCGACGCTGGATCGACGCTGGACCGACGCTCATCAGCGCGAAATAAACGCCGACGCGGCGCAATCTCATCGACTCACAGACGCTCAAACAACAGGCGTTCATGATTTGCCAAAGAATGACGCCAACTTCACCCCTGGACAATTTCACAATATGAGTACTACTCTCCTCCCTCCCCTGGGGCCCCTTGAGAAAAACTATCGGACAAGATTACACATTCGGTGTCGGTCCGTTGATCTTTTGGGCCGCGAAGCCCCCCCCCACTACTCTGGGGCGTCACCACGCCAAACTATGTCAGGCTACGCGTCCTCATTCCCGCGATTCCGTGCTGAATTTTGTTCAAAATGCTGCTCTCGCTGAAGCGCTGGCTCCATGTTCGGGCTACCGCTCGTTCCGAATCGTGCTCCCGCTGCAACGCTGGCCTCATTTCTGCGCTTCCGCTCGTTCCGAATCGTGCTCCCGCTGCAGCGCTGGCCTCATTATTTCCAACGCCATGCCACGGCATGGCCTTCGGTCCTCCCAAATAGGCCCCAAACACTAGAAAATGCCACCTGAAAAAACCATCGGAAAAAGATTCCACATTCGGTGTCGATCCGTTGATGTTTGGGGCCGCGGAACCCACCCCCCACTACTCTGGGGCGTCGCCACGCCATGCCATGCCAGGATACGCGTCTTCAGTTCCGCGCTTCCGCGCTGAGTTTTTTTTTGTTTTCAAAATGCTGCTCTCGCTGAAGCGCTAGCTCCACGTTCGGCCGACCGCTCGTTCCGAATCGTGCTCCCGCTGCAACGCTGGCCTCTTTTCCGCGCTTCCGCTCGTTCCGAATCGTGCTCCCGCTGCAGCGCTGGCCTCATTATTTCCAGCGCCATGCCACCGCATGGTTGCTGGTCCTTCCAAATAGGCCCCAAAAGCTAGAAAATGCCCCCATTGAAAAAAAAACATCGGAAAAGATTACACATTCGGTGCAGGTCCGTTGATCTGTTGGGCCGCGGAACCCCCCCCCCACCACTCTGGGATGTCGCCACGCCATGCTATGTCAGGCTGCGCGCTGATCTTCGACACCATGTTATACCATGTAATGCCATGCCATGCTGCGACATCCGATTGTGCGAATCGATCGGGGATCTACGCCATGGTGAGGGATGGCTTGGAGGGGTAGGACGTCAGATATGACGCGAGCGCACCTATCTGTCAGCACCCCCTTTCCTGGGCGCTCCGAGCAACAAATACCGAAAGGCGGGCCCCACGGGGCATCTCTGGAGCGCCATCCTCCGTGAAGCGGTCCGCTCCCAAGATCTTGCAGATAGCAGCACGCAACATGATCACAGCGCACTGTGCTGCAAGGCCCCTGCCTGCCGTCTACGAGCCGCTGCAGTGTTATGCCCCAGGGGCCCGCTGGCGGGCTCGCTGGTTGCGCACGCAGATGTGTTCATCAATGTCTGTATACTTATATTTGTTTAGATATATATATAGATATACACACATGTGTATGTCGTCATCATCATCACCACCATCACCATCACCATCATCAGCATCATCTTCATCATCATGATCACCATCATCTTCATCATCACCATCACCATCATCACCATCAGCACCATCATAATCATAACCATAATCGTCAGCACCATCATCATGTCACCGTACAAACTCATACTGCAGTCATCATCGTCGCCATCACCATCATCATCAGCAGCATCATCGTCATCACCGTCATCGTCATCAGCATCATCGTCATCGGGGCGACAGGGCCGAACTGTCTTACGCCATCCTCGGGTGCGTGCCTGAAATGGGCTTCCGCGGTGCGGATTGTTGTTGTTGTTGTTGTTGCTGTTGTTGTTGTTGTTGTTGTTGTTGTTGTTGTTGTTGTTGTTGTTGTTGTTGTTTGTTTGCTGCTTGTTGGTTGATGGTGTCGTCGCCCACGACTCAATAGGCTGGCAGACTGCCAACGACCCCGCCCCGCCCCTTCGCACCACAAAGGCTGCACCGCCCATAATCCACGTCCCAAGTGCAAGATCTTCTTGTTCGTGGCCCACGCTGGCAAGCGTACCAGCGTGAATACGCACCGCGCCTGCGACGCGCTGCAAACATCGCCAGGGACGAACTGACACGGGTCAGTGTAAACCCGAGATAATCAGGCGTTACAGGCTCCTGCAGGATCCTGCAAGATCCTGCAGGATCCTGCTGGATCCCGCACCCTTGCCCG